GAAGCTAGCAGAATTTTTCCATAATACTGGAAGTGTTATCTATGTGAAAGTTCCACAATACTGGAGACCATGACAACTCCAAAGTATATGGGAGGTAAATAGGAACTTTGCAATAATCCTGATACCAATTTTGTGGTGAAAAAAACGGAAGCTATAAGGAAGTATCAGACTACATTGTGATTTTTTAAACTGAATTACTATATATTTTATTTAGAAATGATTTAAAATTATATAATTATCCTGTTATAAAGCATAAATCCTTTCATGTCTAGTCTAAAAATTCCATATTAACATTTTCTTTAAGAAACTTTTAAAGATCCAGAGAAAAGCCTACATGCAGTTTCCTCATCCTGGAATGAACCATCCCAGTCTCTACGTGTTTGGATATTCCCAGCAGAATCAAATAAGTTGCAGGTATCATCTCCTAAAGGGAGGTTATAAAATCTGGCTGTGCAAAAAAGTGTGTTAAAAGTTTTTGAATGGTCACAGGTTGTAGAGTATCATCTAAGTTCACTGAACTGGGTACACTAATTTATAATTATTATCATTTTATATGTCATCAGGTATAGAATGATTGCTTTGACACAAGTATGCTGAAGGTGAATTTGAGTTCTATCCATTGATACTATCATATGTGATGAACACCATCCTTATTCATTGTTTCTCACATACAGTGAGGTATTAATCTATGTGTTTCATTTCTTGTCTTTAATGCTTAGGTTTGGAATTGCATAGCTGTGTCCTCTGGAGAAGTCATTCTCAACCGTTTTTGCTCCATGTATCTTTTCGCCTTTACTAGATAATCATCCCCCCCCCCCCGCTTAAACTCGAAAAATGCATGTACATCATTTTTTAATGTGTTTTAAAAATGGAACGAAAAAATATAGAAAATGTTGATAAAAACCAAAATCTGAATAAAAATAGTTTTTTATATTCATAAACTAAAATACTTAGCAGGTAAATAATATTCTGGCGTAATACCCCCCTGAAACTATGAAATCTCCCTCGGGGGGGGGGGAATTCCCCTTGGTTGAGAATACTTGCTCTTGAGTCACTCAAATTCAGATATTCCATGCTTTAAAAAACTTTACTTTTATGACTTTTATGAAAAGCTTAAATTAATTCTTTTTTTCAGTTAATGAAAGGAATCTAGATACAGTTTTCATTTTTATGAAAAAAGTGAGTCGTAAAAATACAGTTTGTATTTATTGTGTGCAATAATTACATAAAAGTATGGCTAATTTTGATATAACATTTAAGACAGTTTTACAAGTTGTTTTGATTGCTTGCCTTAAAAAATGTGTAGTTAGTCTTAGAATCTAAATGTACTAGCTTATTTTCTAGCCTTTCTCATCAGCCAGGGTATGATAAATTTAGACTCCCAAATTTAGGCCCACCAGACATATGAATTTTCGATAAATTTACAAGCTGTATGGCTTCCAGTGTGTCTGCATGTTTAGTTCTGTCAAATCATTGGCTTGATATTATACTGTTTATGCCTTTGAGGTGGCTAACTGTTTTGGTAATGATTTTGTCAGTTATAATTGGACAGAATGGGAAAACACTGGACATATTGCCTAGAATAATCTCTATAATTGCATCAAATAAATAATTATCATTTCATAATACTGCTTGGATGAAGTGTGTGTGTGTGATTATGGCAAAGCCTCAAGGGCTATCTGCCTAAGGGGAGGGATGCCTTCGTGGAGGACTTTCTAAGGGAAACTGGCTCGTATATATGTTAAACATGGGAAAACCACGAAAACGCCCATGCAGCCAGCCTGTTCACGGGATTCGAACCTCGGACCGAACTACCAATGTTCAGCGACTTTACCGCTCGGCCGCTGGTTGGCGCTTGGATAAAGAGTGCATCATCAGAATCATACAGATTTTTTGCTTATCCCCTAATACAAGTTATGCTTACACAACTGGCTAAATACACTATTGATTTCGATGGTCTAGACCAGGGATGGGCAAACGTTTTCGGTCGCGGGCCAAAAATCAAAAAAAAAATTTTTTTTGCCTGGCCAAGATAAATTTTTCTAAAATTTTAAAAACAATATACAAGTATTGCAATTTAAATACGTTATGTCAATGAGATGAATGAAATTGCAATTTCATTTTTAAAAGTTCCTTATATTGAGGTTCGAAGTTAAATGTACTCATAAAGGAATGAGGCTAAATGCTCATCTGTCACTCTACTTCTGAAATAATTCTTTCTAAGGTTCATAGTTGAAAACACTTGTTTCATATATAAGATAAAGCAAACATAGCACTGATGTTCTGGGTGTGAACTATTAAATTTAGGAAACTCACTTTCGATAATGATTTGTAAAACCCTAACTTGGCATACTTAGAAGCAACTGCTTGAGATAACTGTTAGATTGCAACTCAATTGATTCAAGCTGCAAATCTGACCTCACTGCTTCACAATTTACGTCGAAAGGCGTGGTAAAAATATCCAATTCTGTTTGAATGGCAATAAAATCTTGAAATCTGCTTTTGAACTCAAAATGCAGTTGTTCAAGCTATCTTCATAATTCTTAAGCTTCTCTTCATTTAATGAGGGTATTGAATTTAACCTCGGGAAATGAGACAAGTCGTTCTTAGCTAGCTGCCCAGAAAACAGATTAAGTTTTAGTTTAAAAGCTTTGAGATGGGCTCAGATCTTGTCGATAAATTGATTTTTCCTTTGCGTCTTGACATTCAAGTTGCTCATATGAGAAAGAAGATTTGTGAAAAATGCAAAGTCCGAAAGCCATTCTTTATCTTCTAACATTTTGCACTCAGGAGAATTCTGTTTCTCATGGAAGAACGACTCAAAACTATGTCGTCTTTCAGCTGCCAAACTCGCTCGAAAACACATCCTGCACTAAGCCACCTTACTTTCGTGTAGTACAGTATATCAGAGTATTCAGTTTGCACGGACTGAAGAAAATCTCGAAATTGCCTGTGAGTAAACCCACGAGATCGAATAGTATTTACAAGCTTTACGACTGCATCAAGCACGGGTTTCGTATTCAATTGCAGATTTACACAGAGCATCTTGATATATAACACAATGTAGAAAAACAACATTGTCCCCTGGATAATTTTGATTAAAGAGTCCTAGAAATTCAGATTTTTTTTCCTGTCATATTTGGTGCTCCATTGGCCGTAATATTACATATATTTGTTATAGGCACTTTCAAAGTTAAAAGCTCTTCCAGAAATTCACAAAAAATATCACATCCCGTTGTATTTCCCTTTAAAAAACACATACACGCCAGTTCCTCGGTAATTTCAATGTTCTCATCAACACCTCTTATAAATAATACTAATTGAGAAATATCATTTATATTGGTGCTTTCATCCATAGCTGTGGAGCAAAATTTAAACTGGCCAATCTTTGAGTTTAAATTGAGATGTCAAATTTTTATCGATGTCTTCAATACTAGAAGTCACTGTTTTTCAGGATAACCTTACAGTCTCAAAATTATTTTTCTTGTCCGGACAGAAAACATCACAAATTTGGAACATGCATTGTTTAACGAGCTCCCCATCACTGAGAGCTTTATTATTTTTAGCAATATTGTATGCTACAATGTAACTTGCATGTGTAGCTCCTTCTGGATACTGTTTACCTTCTTGAAAAAATTTTGTCGGCCTCATAATTTTTTACAAAGACTTTCTGCATTTTGTTTTCTTTCATATTCGGGCATTGCTTCGTAACTGGAATTATGCTTAGATGTGAAATGACGAGAAATGTTATATCCTTTGAAGACTGCTACAGCTTCACTGCGGATGAGACACACTGGTTTATCTTTTACAACTGTAAAAAATATTTCCAGGTCCATTCATCATTAAAAGCACGGCACTCTGAATCAACTTTACGTTTTTTAATGAATCAACTTTACGTTACGCCATTTTGGGGTTGAAATATTTTACTAATAACCCAAACAAGCACTAGCTATGCTATACTTTTAATAATTTCACCACTGTTCACAATGTTCACTATATGTCCGCAATCTTTCCTTACACAATCAATAATATTAGAACTCTCGTCAAAAGAAAAAGCCGCTGGCTGGAACTTAAAAAAAAAAAAAATGTGCAGTCTGCCACATGTGAGGTCTAATTCACTTATATTGGATTCCCATATGTCTGCTCCCTGAGAAAGAGATAACGCTTGTTGGCGCCAATCTACAGCTATAACTAATAAAGAACTTCCGCTTTTAACATTTTACCAATTGAAAGCTATATGTGCTATCGATTTACGTTTTGTAGAAGAAAAATAGAGAAAGTGAAAAGATCACCATTTCTTTGAAAAAAAGAAAGAAAAAATAATATTTAAACAAAGTAGGAAAGGAGATGGATATATAATATATCAATATATATTTCTTTTAATTTGCCTCGGACCGGAGTTTGCCCATCCCTGGTCTAGACATTAGAGTTTTTTAGAGGCTGCTGAAGCTGTGTCTTTCAATATGGTTGTACTGTTTGAAATCTGATCATAGTGGTGATGATGAAGGTACTTGGATTGCACATCCTTTCATGTGGGAAATTTTGAATAACTATGATATTCATCATATATGACAGAAATATCAAATATTGCATAAATTTGTATATAAACCTACTTATATGAAAAAAATGCCTTGTGTAATTAAGTTATATTCTATGGGAACTGGTAATTATTGCATGCTAGAGCATTTTTTTAGATGCTGTCCTTCAGTTTTTTAAGTTATCATTTTCTTCTTACTTCATTGTAGGGTTATATTTTATAATTTCCATTATTTTTTTTGCTGGGAAGCACTGCATTTGCTATTATTTAGATCGGGTATGTTCACTTTACTAAAGATGCATCTAATGAATGTAATCTGAAACAGTTCATTCCAAGATAAAAGGAGTGTATATGGACTTTCTTAAAATTGACTCTGTTTAAATTATGTCAGACATACATAATATATAATTTGCATTCCTGAGATAGTTAATTAATATTTTCTTTTGCATATATTTTATGAAAGGGTGCGATGATCACTGAAGCTGTTTCAATTTGTAAAAGATGTATTGCTCCTAAACCTCCTAGAACACATCACTGTATTGTATGTAATCGATGCATACTAAAAATGGATCATCATTGTCGTATCCTTTTCTTATGTGTTACTGCTTAAGGTTGTAATGCATATTATTGTTTTAATGTTTTGTTCTTTTGTGTTGTTATAAAATATTTCTTAGTAAATATGGAAATATCTTTTCTGTTATAATATTTAGATTCATTCACGTACATCATTGCTTTCAGGGCAGATGGAGCTACCTTTTTTTTAAAGCTCCTCTCAATTTGTAATATGCATATTGTTATTAAAAAGTCAAAGCTGAAAGCTGTTTTCCATGCAAAATTAAATGCATAAAGTAAATTTTAATGAGATTTTTTTACCTTAAAATTAACCCTAAAGAATCTTGACTAATGGCTCTTTTGTGAAAAAGTTTGATTAAATTTTAAGATTTGTATTAGAGTGTAGTAGAAAAAGAAAATAATACAAAGTGAGAAAATTCGTTTTTGTTGATATGCAAAGCTTATGGAGTAACAAATTTAAAAATATGAAAATTATCATGAGAATGTACGTCATGTAAAATGGCACAGCTTTCTACTAACCATTGTAGGTATTTTTTTTAAGCATCATTTATATGTGCTTTAGTAGTGTATATCTGTTTTAGTGGAACCACTTTGTTACTAGTAGATATATTTCAAGTATCTTTTAGAGGATTTAGTTTAAGTTTAAAATTATTTCCTATCTGTAGATTCTTAAACAGTAAACCATCCAGTGTGCCCCTCTTAATTTTCAAAATCAAAATAACAAATCTTGAAGGTTTCAGTGCTATACTTGTTAAACGTGTTAATCCGGAGATCATAAAAAAGTATCATAAAAAGCTTTATATAACATATGATCATTTTCTGTCATCAAACTCATTTCTATAATAATTTTCAAGCATTTTTTTCCTGTGATATACCGGACTTTCCTCACAGTGTGACTTTGTATTGATAATTCAATGAGTCAAAATAAAGCAGCTCTTTGGTAAACGAATAAATTCTTTAATATCTAAGATGGATAGTTTGGATACAGCAACACTGCCTACTTTATGATGCAAAATAAAGGCAATAACCGGATTACAGACCTAGGAGCAACACTTCAGTCAGTCAGTAGCCAGCCATCAACTTCAGTAGTTCAGTAGCGAGGAGAAGAACATTAATCATTTTAATAAAATACACACGGTACATGCTTTCACTTTGCCAAACTGGATGTACACTCAAGAACTTTGAAAATAGTGCCCCAAGAAGTGAGCATCGGATTGAAATGAAATTTAATACACATAATGATACAGATGAGAGATTAACTTGATCCCAAAATCAAGGCAATTAAATACAGTGTAGAAAATTGGACAAATACAGTGTAAAAGTACGTCAGACAGCCTCCTGCTACAATAGATTCCTCAAAACGATCTGGCATTGATTTGATTAGAAATTCGTGTTTTCCTGAGGAAGATGGGTCTATAAATCGTGAACAGCCACCTCCAAATCATGTACAGAGTGACATGATAGCAATCTGGCATTTCAGCTGGTCTCACACATGCTCTATAAGGAACAAATCTGGTGAGCAAACCTGCGTGGGAAGAGTCTGAACGTGACGTAGGAAGTTATGAGCAACTCGAACTGTATGCAGATAAGCATTGTCTTGCTAGAAAATTGCCCATGGAAGACCATTTAGGAAAGGTCCTGCGTGAAATCAAGGAATGTCATCAACATAACGCTGGCCTGTAAAGGTTCCACGTACCACAATTAGAGTAGACGGCTATCAGAGGCTATGGCCCCCCAGCCCATTGCACCTGTTGTGCGGGCAGAGCATTGCGCAACAGCATGAGTGGAATTGTACTGTTCACCTGAGTGCCTTTACACTTGTACTATGTGGTTACTATCTTTCTCCAAAATGAACCGGGATTCATCACTAAACACCACGGTTTGCCAATCTTTGGCATTCCATGTCACTCTGCCTGGGCACCGATGTAGACGGTGTCATCAATGTATCAGTGTTAAAGGTATCCGTGCACGAAAAAGGCACTTTGATAAGCAGATTCATTTCTGTAAGGTGTCTGGAAATGGTTTGTGAAAGAATTAGCACCCCTACATCTAATTGTATCTTGAGTGGTTGTCAAATCCACGAGCGCTTGCCTCATGATCCTTCGATCCTCTCGTCTCATCGTCTTCCTGGTCACTTCAGACCTGGTTTTGCACACGTGGATAACCATCTCATGTGCGCTGCTCCCAATGTTTTTTGATGGCACACGCTGAACGATTGACCTGGTAAGCAACACGGTGCGTCGACCAGCCTGCGCTTTTCATGTTTACCTGTTCAGAGTTTTGTTATTGAAAGTCAGCCTTTCAGCTTTCTTATGCAAGTTAATTTGGTGCCACACATCCAGATGAAATTTTGTTTTGGGCAAGAATATGAACATCATAAATTTTTGATTTTCAAGATTTTTTACAAAATAATTATAACTATATATGAATAATCCTAGAATTAGAAGAGTTGTAATGTTTTTTCAAGTTAAAAGAAGCAGTTATATTTTTAATAATGAGGTATTTTAATTGAAATTTCCCCCCCCCCCCAGATGACAAGAAAGCACATAATTTTTATTTTATATTCTGTAATTTTTATGTGCATATATTTAGATAAATTATAGTTATTGTATACAGGTTATCCCAGCTAAGATGTCACAAACTTAGTGGGAAGGTGTGGTGGACTTAGATAACTCGGTTGCGAAAGTGGTGCCAGTGGATAAGACCGACAAGGTTTTTGCCGCAAAGTTTCTTGATAGAGTGTTAAACGGACAATATGAAGATTTCTCAGTGGAGAGTTGAACTAGTTGCCGAAGGCACTCAACAATAAAAAGGAATTGCAGTGAGATGAAGCTTCATTTTGCATACAGACAGAGAGGCTGTAGGATGGCAGACTGCACGAACTCAGGAAAAGCAGATATGCTTCTGGCATACAGAGTCACAGACTGTAATGACCGAGCCACTCAGAGGTTGTACGTCCAAAGATATCCATTGAGGCAAACTTTCGCCCATACCAGGTTTGTGCACTTACACCAGCAATTATGTGACAGTGGTTCTTTCATAAAACTACAAGTAATCGTTATCAAACAACTTGTAGCCGGGCAATGAGGAAACTGCACTAGGTCTAGTAGAGAACATTCCCAGTAGAAGTACACGAGGTACAAAGGCAGCAATTCTTTTCATTTCCTCTTAACTGGCTTCAATCTTTTCTTAAACTGACTCCATGGCCTCTTCCATCTTTTCTTGACCCACCTTTATCTCCTCTTGGTCTGCTTTCATCTCCGCTTTAACGGAGTTGTTAGCTGCTTCCATCCCTCTTTACCGGCTCTTTGAATGAAGCAAAAGCTGCCACCGGCTGTCTTAACTGCTCCTCTGTCAGACTAGTCACTGGTAACCAATCCCACTTCCGACACCAAAAGCTGCTGAGTGCATACAGAGTCACAGACTGTAATGACCGAGCCACTCAGAGGTTGTACGTCCAAAGATATCCATAATAGATTCATAATAGATTGAATGCATAAAGACCGACAACCGATTATATTGATAGAAATATAATAGAATGCAAAGTGCATCTGAAGAGCGAAGCTAACACATAGGTATCTCAATACTTCGAACAATGCTGAACTAACAACTAAGAAACTGGTGCTCTCTCATGTCTTATATAGTTTTTCCCCGGCTGCCGAGAAATTTCTGGTACTTCTCAAAGTTACTGGAAGGCATATGAGGGCTGGATAAGGTTACAGTTGCAAAAAGGATCAATTAAATTTATTCAGTTATGATACCGATTACAGTTATCTAACAGATCAAAATGGTTGCTAAGTTTGGCAATTTATTGCCAGTTTGGGAAAATAGCCGTCTATTCAGTGTTAAATAGACTTGCCCCTGTATTCTTGTTTTCCAAGCAGAGCATCATTTTTCTCAAGCTTTTCATATTGCATTATATAGATCTTCTACACTCCATGCTTTGTGTCTTACTTCGTTTTCGCTAGGCCAGCAATGGTCACCTCTAAAAACTGGTGCTCAATAGTATTATGTCACAAAAAAATATATGCACCCAGAAGAAATCGAGCCACAATCATGAAACTTGGAATGTAGTCTGGTAAGATATATGCAAATAATTTAAATTTCAACGCCAGTGGGACAAAGGTAAGCACGCTATGCGCATATGAGTTGCGCAGCTGAGTGAGTTTAAAAGCATGATTGCTCGGGCTGTAGGGCTATCCAAACGAATTCTGTCGACTTGGATGAACAGTATTGTGACTAGAGATGTGTCTGAGATGTAACCTTTGCCATTACGATTAGTTGTCAGACTTTCAGAAGTGTATAGTAGGCCTCAGAAAAGCAGATCGGTTGAACAGGTGTATCGGCTGCCACCTGTTTCGAAGCTGTATAGTAGTTGCTCGGTGTTGGTAACACTGGATCGCGGAAGGGATGGTCTACCGTCGGGGAGGATCTGGGCGTCCCAGGAACACAAATGAGTGCGAGGATCGTGCAAGTATAGGAGTGGCCACTTTTGCACCAACAACCTCGTTAGCATCGATTCTACGCCATTTACTACCTTCCAGGCGTCCGGTGGTATTAAGGAAAACCACTTGGAGACAACTGGCCGATGCTGGTATATGCTGCCGACATACATGAAGATGCTTACCACTAACCCCACATCATAGGCAGTGTCGATTGGACTTTTGCCAAACTCGGGCAAGCTGGAGTATGACTGACTGGAGGCATGTGCTCTTCAGCGATGAATCCTGATTCAGCCGCAGTGCTGATGACCAACCATTGGCATACGACGATTACACGAGCTTTGACAGTGTGGAGAGCGGTTTGTTGGGACACACGATCATCTCTAGTCATTCTTCAAGCCACTATGATGGTTCGAAGTTACTTGGATGACATTTTAATGCTGGTTGTATTGCCTATGCTATCAAGTCCCCCAAGTGCCATATATCAGGAAGACAACGTTCGCCCACATACTGCGCGACTCTCCCGACAATGTCTTTAAGGATATGACGTGCTCCTGTGACTTGTCAGGTGACCAGACCTCTTGCCAATAGAGCACATGTGGAACATGCTTGGAAGGCAGTTGCAGCTGCTCTGGAATATTGGTGAATGATTGTCCACTTGCAAAAATTAGGGCATTATCTTCCACAGGGGTCATGGGTGACCTACTGGATTTGATGTCACTCCATGTTTCGGCTTGTATAGCTGCCAGAAGTGGCTATACTATACACTGATTTATAACCTTTTTCATGCCATAACTTCTTAATAAAACGAGCTTTTGTTCTGAATTTGTAATAATTTGTTTATCTCCTCATATACTGCATACTTTTAAGTTTCGTGATAGTATAGCTTATTTACTTTTTGGGTGCATATATTTCTTTGTGACAGAGTGTATTTTCAGTTTTGAGCTTAACGTACTTGCTACTTGTTTATGTAGTTTTCTCTTCAATGTTAATATTTCCCAGTGTCTATTAAAAACAATGTTCTGTCAAGAAAAATCTGTGATGTGATTTAATAAGTTAATCAATTAAACGCTGTTGTAACTACTTCAAAATCTCTGTAATTATTGAATTACTCTTTTTTTTTTTTTATTTCAAGTGTTGTATTTGTAATATCAAATGCAAAAAGCTGTATGGAATGCATTTTCTGAAGATGATATATCGTATTAGGGAATGAAGGAAGTAATAGAGTAAAAGAATACCAGTTCTCTTAAGTTTCAAGTAATAAAACTGCTCAAAGAATTTTTTTATAGTGAAGATAAGTTTTTATAGAAGATATTTTATAGTGAAGAAGTTATGGCATGAAGCCTGAGAGAGCGGAAGAAAGGCTTGAATGTTAAATCATGCAGTACTTTTAGTTCTTTTTTTAATATATGGAAAATATATATGTTTAAAATAAGTTTTGTGAAATTATTATACATTATTTCTTTTTCCCTTAACTTGTCTAAGCATGGTTGAATAATTGTGTTGGACATTTCAATCATAGATATTTCTTCATGTTCTGTATCTATTCATGGGTTGGCATTGTCTTTGTGATAATTTTTGGCATTCCTATAGCATATGATCATTTCTTTGGGAGTTCTGAGGTAAGTTTTTTAAATGTGAATATGTGTGTGTGTGCCTGCACACATTTCTTTTGCTAATACACAAAAATATGTTTCACACTTTTTATATTCTTCCTGCATGCACCTGAAGTTATAACTTAATAACAATACACGAAGTTATAAAAGAAAAACACAAAGTAAAAAATTAGTTTATTTACATCACGTTTTTTAAGATATAAAAAATTTAATGTACTGTGCTGTCAAGTTTTTTGTTCTTGTAATTTTTTGTAGCTTTATCATGAAATATTTGTGAGATGGTAAGATTTTTTAAACTGTTTTTTTATTTTTTTTTATTTAAGCGTGATTTAAAAATCTCTTTTAAATAATTTTATCTTTTAAAAAGAATCTTGACTCAAATTCATTCATTTGTTTTTATTTAAAAAAGAGCAAAATTCGATCTTATATTTGATTTTACAAAAAAAAAAAAAAAAAAAAAAAAAAAAAAATTGCATTTTTTATTACTTATTTATTTATTATAACAAGATAGTATCAAGATGCTTATGTTATTCTCACTTGAATTTGTTTTTAATCACTTGAATTTAAATGGGATTTAAAATCGCTTTTCAGTGATCTTTATCTTTGAAAAAGAATCTTGATTCAAATTCATTAATTTGTTTTTATTTAAAAATAGGCAAAATTCAATCTTACATTTGTAGCAATTAACTTCATGCACAGTGGATTGCAGTTAAACATTTTAGTAGGAGAGTGGAAAAGCAGAACATTCACTAACAGCGATTATTATATTCAACTACAGAAGTTCATGTAATGTTGGCAGACTAACCAAGTGCAATGCGTTTACTCATTACATCATGTAATGCTATGGAAGGCAAGCAAAAAAAGTGCAGCATTAATCATTGTATATCAGATTCGGAGGTTAAAATATAAATATAACAACACCCTGCCTCAATAATTAATCTTTAATGCAAGAAAATGACTTAACCTTGAGATTCATTGAAAATTACATTTTTAACATACCCAACATTCTGCGTAAATATTAATTTATTTGTCCTTAGGGGCTTTGTTAAAATGTCTGCAGTCAGTGGGAAGTTAACAGAGTTCATAATTTTTAAACTAAATATAGATACAAAATGATAATCTATACTAAAAGTATAGATACATTTAGTTCTCCTACTGTGTCTGTCTCTATTTAATATTTTGATGCACAGTAGAAAATGCAAACAGTTTTCGTTTTGTGAAAACCATGCAGAAGTCTTTTAAGCCAAATTGCCTCCATTGTGGCTTCGACAAGAGTTATATATTCTGTTTCAGTGGGTGATAAAGTCACACAAAATTTTTTTCTGCAACTTCACATAAAAACCCTGCTTTTATATGCAAACAAGTATCAGGAATTAGATTTCCTATTGGCAGAACAATTTGCAACCGTGTAGTGCAGCAGGTATTTGTCTTCCTTCTTGTTTACATTTTCTAAATGCAATATAATATCTCTAGTTAATTTTATATATCTGAAGAATCTTTTGACTTTGGTCTAGTGGCAGTCAAAACCAATCAGTGGTTGGTTTTGACACTGTTCTGGTGTCTGTGCTTACTGCAGTCGCCAAATCATCCACATGTACAGTAATGTATATAAATCCTTTAACTTGTCTGGTATAAAGTCAAGGATCATTTTGACATCATTAAAATACTTTACCTAGGAGAACTTCATGAAATTTTCCAGTCCATTCATTTGGTCCTTACTTGAGTCCATGTAAGTCCTTTACAAGGTTGCAAACTGTATTTTTATTACCTTCTTCAAATCCCGGAAAGGGGGGGGGTTGCTTCATGTGTATATCACGTGATATAGCTTCATTTAAATATGCTGACTGAATATCATAATGTCACATTGGTCTTTTCTTCTTCCTTCTATAATAAAAAGCATTCTCAGTGTAGTGGACTTAGCTACTGAAGCAAATACTTCGTCATAGTCATATCCATATTTCTGTTAATATCTTTAAGGAACCAGTTCAGCTTTATAATAGAAAAAATTTCCATTGCTATCTATTTTAATCATACATACCTATTTGCAGCCTTTTACTTTTTCATTTCTCTTTGGGATGGGGATCACTTCCCGACAGATTTCTGTACTATCAGTATTTATATCCAGCATTCAACATCCTTCTATTCCTTCGTATCCAAACATGATTTGTTTAACAGAAGTGTCATCAAGTTTTTAACCTCATCAGTATATGTACACTGCAAAAAAAAAAAAAAAAAAAAAAAAAGTGGGGAGGAACAGTCCTGTTCTACTGGGTCGATTAATGAAATTCAAATTGCATTTTTCATGTCTTGAAAGCACGACTTAGGATATATATTAGATTTATATACAGCATTGTCCTAACATGCATATTTTGACACAAAATCGGACTTTTTCTGAAATAACATACAAATTTTTCCCATATTTTGATTCTACGTTTCGAATTATGTCTAAATATTAAATATTGTAATTTTGGGTGAGAAATTTAAAAATTTATCTTGGCAGATTTTTTTTTCGGTTTTCTCCAAGAATAGTTCACTTGGCAAACTTCTTAATTTATACCAACATATTTTCCTTTCCTTTTTTTTTTTTTTTCCATTGTCCATAAGCGAGGAAAAAATCATCGTTCATACTTTCAAAATAATTTTAACAAAGTGTGTAAACCACATTTTCGTTATTATCGCTTATAATAAATATGCCAAATTTCAAAACGTGCGTAAATGTAAATTCACATATATCTTAGGAAATTTTGAATAAAAATCCTCAATTTTGTTTTCAGATATGCTTAGAAATACATCTACTGTAAGATGATGTCAAAATTTTATAGGTTATTTCAAATTTTTTCCCGAAAAATATTTAAAAATACGAATTTTAAAAATAAATCATAAAAAAAAATTGGTGAATTTTGTTTGGAACGAACCTAAATTTCAAAGTATGAAAGGAAGAATCAAATAAGTTTAATAAATATATACCAAATTCAATTAACACTGAAGAGGTAAAATTTTGAGAGCTAATTTTTTAAAAACTACTCTTGCGATTTTTACAAAACTAGGGAGTTTGACATAATTTGAGCCATAGAATCGAAATATGGAAAAAATTGGCATGTCATTTCAGAAAAAAGTCAGATTTGATGTCAAAATGCCTATATTAGAACTAAGGTATATATAAATCTAATGCATATCCTAAGTCATGCTTTCGAGACATGAAAAATGCAAGTTGAATTTCATCATTCGGCCCAGTAGAACAGGAGATATAGAACTGTCTCCCCTCCCCCCTTTTTTTGGTGCAGTGTACATATATCAGAACACCAAATGCTTGTGTGTGTGCTAATGATGGTTTCTTTTTATACCACTTCTCATAATGATAATAATGATTTCTCATAATTCTGTACATTCTTTTGTAGACAACTGTTTTGCAGGTAGTTAGTTAGCTGTTATAACATCCTCACCTCATTACTTGTTTGAAGATAAGCTATCTTTAACATTGCTCTGGTCATCCTTGATAATGTAGGGGTTTTTATCCCGTTCCATTCTGTTGAAAATAAGAAACAGTTTTGTCATATATTGTTCCATTTTCCTTCAGCAGTTTTTTAAAGTCTTTCCTTACATATTCTCTTGTTCAGCCAGATCTCAGTTTTCATTTGTTGCTTTCCCAAATTGTGTTAATACGTGTTTGGTGAAATATGAGATATGTTCTTTTATTTTTTCATAACATTTATGAAGATAAACTGTAGTGTATCTACTATAATCATCAGTTACTGTTAGTATGTATCATGCACCACTTGGAGTTACAGTTTGCATTGTTCACAAAGATCAATGTGCACTAAAATCATCATTGTGTACGTCCGCAATGTAGACTTTCTGGGAAATGGTTCTGTGTATGCTTTGGTTATGATAGTCCTCACATATAAATGAACTCAAACACAGAGTGATGTTCATGTCTTCAGCCATAGCTTTTTTACACATCATTATAATATCTGCAGGATTTCTATGGCCTAATTTTATGTGTTAGTCACGAATGTATTCCGTATGGGTTTGTTTTGTCTGAAGAGCATGTTCGCTTTCCTTAAGAATATATAAACCTTCTGTGATGTAACTAAAAGCTATAAAATTATCATTCTTAACCCTTTTTACATACAAGTAATCTAGAGAAGTTAAACGAAAATGTTTGTATTTTTTCTACTTAAAATAACCTTAGTTAAAGGAGTACATATAGCTGTGTTATGTACATCATCTGGATGTATGGTGATTTGGGTATATGCTTTTACGAGATCAATGTGACTAAACATTTGTTTACCATGCAATTCTGAAGTAAAATCAGCTATGCCAAAGAATAGTTGATGTTTTTCTTTGATAGTGTGTGCATTAAGAACAGGTCTCCATTCAGTTGACCCTTTCTTGGGCACCAAGACCCTTTTCAAGGGCAAAGAATTCATGCTTTTTCAAGGTCTCATATAACCCAGGTGAATCATGCACTGAAATTCAGTTTTTGAAATTTTGAGGTGGTCAGGAGCTAACCATCTAGGATTAGCAGCAACTGGAGGGCCTTTAGTATTTATATAATGCACAGTATTGTGCTTCACAGGCTGACTGTGATCCGGTAATTTAGTAATATCAGGATATTGTAACAATAATTTACCAAATACATTATCACCACAAGAAGATTTTACAGAAAAAAATATTAAAAGTATTTAATTTGGCAGGTACTTTAAAATTTGTTGTTAAATCAATTAGATGTTTGTTATGTAAATCAGGAGATAAATTGAAGTAATATAAAAAATCTGCACCTATGATCGAGCATGTAACATTACAAATATAAAAAGATAAAGTAAAATTGTGTCTTAAACAAAAATTAACATTTTTTGTTTTTTGGCCATAAACATTAATGGAAGATCCATTTTCAGCACAAAAAGTTTGGAGTACTGGTGCCTTCAGTTCAGATTTATTTGCAACAATTAAACTGGCATCGCTCCTTGTAGGAACTGCAAAACATATTTTTTTGCACTATCCTT